GCACCGAGCCACTGCGAGCCGCACCAGCGCCGCCTCCACGCCCGGACTGCGGGGGGCACAGCCCTTACACACACACCCTACACAGACACCTCGTTACCCTTACACATACACCTCTTACATACTACCCCTACACGCACCTTCCCACCCCTCACATAGTACCCTTACACGCCCCTACACACGCGTTACATCTCCCCTTCCGCACACGCTTGACATACTATCCTTACACGCCTTACACACCCCTACACACACTTCTCACGCACCGCCCCCCCCCCCCGCGCACGAGGCGAGGCTGTGGTGGGAGGGGGGGGGTGGACTTGACAGCTCCCCGCACCTCGCCGGCTCCTGTGGCTGCCGGATGAACCGCCCACTCCCGAGCGTTTCACGGCGCCGGGGGAGACGCGCTCCGCTCCGGCGGGCCTGGGCCTGGCGCTGCGGGAGACCCCCGGAGGACCAGGGCGAGGGGGGCCTTGCCGGGAAGAGCGGGTGACCGGACGACTGCGCTGCTTTCAGCCTCACGTGCTCTGAGCCCTCTCGCTGAAACCGATTCACCCCCAGCTGCAGCCTCCTCCCCCCACCCCGCGTGGCTGGCTGCCCCCGGGCTTTACACCCGCCACTGCAGGCCTGCCCCCTCTCCCATCGCGCGCGGGGAGGCTCCCTGTGCGGGGCTAAGCTAGCTCCCCCCCCGCCGCGGCTTTGCTGTGAGACAGGAGCGCTCACGACGCTAAACAAACTGAAAAAAAAAAAGCATCTCGCTCCCAGCCTGACTCATGGCTGCGAGACAAGCACGTGGCTCAGCGGCAATTTATTTTGCTCCGAGCCCGAGAGGGGCCGGCGGGACGCGGGGTGCCCGGGTGCAAGGCCGGAGGGAAGCTGCCAGCCCCCTTCCCCCTTCCAAAACGGGGCCGGCAAAAGCAGCGGCCACACAAGGCTGCTTGAGCCTGGGAAGGAAAAGAGACGTCCCCTCAGGCCCCCACGAACTGGTGTCTGGGCCAAGCTGGGAGCTCTCCTCAAAGAAACTTTCCAATCCCAGATCCGCCATACGCAGCCGATCCCTCTCCTCGCAATGCGCCCAAACCCAAGAGGTCAAAGAACAGCATGACAAAAAATAAACAAATCTCCCAAGTCCTGTAACTATATATGTATATATATATTTGCACGGGGGAGCTGCACTGGAGAGAAAACAGCTGTTGCCTTGTGCACTGGGGACAGATGTGAGGGGGAGGGGAGGGCGGCTGTTGAGCAATTTCAGTTAACAAGGCTCCAGTGTTTGCTGCTGCGGGGAGTCGTGGTTCTCTCGTATTTACCGTGAGGCTGTTTGGGGCAGGGATTGGTAGCTCATATCCGGTGGTGTCTGTCTGAGTGCGGAGAGTGAGTCGAGAGTGAGTGAAGCGAGACCCGGCCCAGCCAGACGCAGTGACTCAGAGGAGCTTAGGCCAGTGCAGAGCGAGCAGGGGAGGAGACAAGCTGCCTGCAGGGGGGTGGAGAAGCTGTCTGTTGTGTAACTCTGGAAGCTTTAGCAAACGCAGCCTTTCCCACAAAGCAAATCGTGTAGGCGAGCTTTCCCAGTGTCCTTCCTCCCTCCGGGACTCAGACCAGGGGGCGAGGGAGAGCAGTTCAACTCCCCAGCTGGCCCTTTAAACTTGTCCTCGCAATGGCTTGTTGCTGCTCCAGATCTGCTGGAGTCTGTGACTCAGCTGAGGTCCAAGTGTGCAGATAAGGATCCTGAAGCTTTAGCCCGGCCCTGCCCCACTTACTTGAAAGAAAAAAGGCTCACTCCAGACTTGGCATTTTTAACCTGACATGAAAAGACACGAAATCAAATGCGTTTCCAAGGGACTGGGGATGACTCATGGGATTTTTTTTTTTTTGAAGTTGTTTTGCTACCAGCTGTGAGGTCTGAATTTACAACTGGGGTTTGGCCCATTTCTTCCTAAGTACTCTCAGAAGGCAATTAAGTGAGGCAACAATAGCCTGCGCTAAGGGACCTTCCCCTCTGTGTATTTTTTTTTGTTTTGGAGTTTCTTTCTATATAGCGGCCCAGCCAGCTCACATTCTCCCACTGCTGTTGCCCTTGAAGTTAGTAACTGAATGGGAATTTCAATCTTATTTTGAGGTGTAATCTTGCTCCCGATTGAAACACTAAACGAAATAATTTTATTGAGGCTTTTGTCCTCCCAATCTTGCACTGATTTCTGGGTGGGTGCATCCATTTCATGATGGAATATTAGGAGTGTGCCTTCTGCTTCCACTGGAATATATACTACTAGGATCTCTCTGGAGGGCAGATTAATAAAAATGGATAGATGAACAAGATGATTTACTGGGAAAAAAGATATTTGGAGTTTCCACAACAGAATTGGTTCAGAAACACTTTCCTATACCAGCTGGACTCAACATGGTGAATATTAGTGAACTTTTTTATGTTACTCTTAAGTTCCCCATTTGTAATGTGGGGGTTATCATCTCACTTTACAGGATGTTGTGAACATGCATTAGTCTTTGAAGCACTCAGCCTTAAGAGATCTCTGGACATTGTATACATATGAATGTCTGACCCCTTAATAAATCTTAAATTCTTGTCCACAATGACTTCCAGCAGTAGCAAGTTCCACAGTTCAATCACACATGGTATGTAATAGTATTTCCATTTGTTGCTTTGGAATTTCTCCTCTTTCAATTTTATTCAGACAGAAAGCACATTCTGGGTCCACCTTATCTGTATGATTCATTATTTCATATGCTGTTATTTTTTTACCTTTTAAAGATAAAATTCCTTTTCTGCCATAATAATTTTTCTGCGCCCTGGATCATTCTGTTGGGTATATTGGGTATCTTTCAAACATCATTGTGTTCAACAACATGGGTGCTTGACCCCTGAGTCCTGGGCCAGATCCAGCCCATGGAACTATGCCATCTGACCAGTGGAGTTCCCCAAGGGCCTGGAAATTTGTCAATAGGAGAGTGGTGGCAGTATTAATCACCATTTCCCCACTGTCAAATTTCTGGACCCAGTAGCACACAGATGTATCCAGGTGCAAGAAGAGATTGGACTAGCATGCAGACCAACCCTGTGCTCCAGTATCACATGGGATCTAGCCTGCTGATTAACCTCACCTGCTCATTCAGAAAGTTGGGCACTACCATTCTACAAGACCCTTTTTCTGAAACACGGGGGAACTATACTGTGTGCAGCTTCCAGATTAGGCTGCACAGATGTATAAAGCCATGTTGTTTTACTACTAGTAGTAGTACTACTCCAATGCTACTACTCAACATATTGTTAACCTTTTTTACCATAGCTGTACGTTGAACAGAAGTTTTCAGTGAACTGGCTACAGTGAAACTTGGGTTTCTTCCTTATGCTTCCTTGTACATTGTACATTGAATTCTTTAAGCTGTGGGAGTTTATTTGTTTCCTGTAATATTAGAGGGAGCCATTTATGCATTGACAGTAAATGTAATTTCACATCGTCTTGTCATTTACCTTTTTTGTTTAAGGAATCTCTGGAACTAGTCACAGCCCTCTTGTCCCGATTAACCTGGATAACCTTGAGTCATCTGTCAGTTTAGTCCCTCACTATTCACGATCAGTTTAGTCCCTCATTCAAGAAGCTTAATAAACATACTAAACAATGCTGGGACTAATATGAAACCTAGGAACACACTGCTGTTAACCTTTTGCTATGATGAAAATTGACCACTTAATCCTATTCTTTGTTCCCGCCAGTTTTTGATCCATGACAATAATTAGCTTCTTCCTCCAGTGTCTACTTAGCTTCTTTAGTGGCCTCTTGCATGGGACCTTGTCAACAGCCTTCTGGAAGTCTAAATTAATTATGCCTGCCAGCTGTGATCACATAATTAAAGACTATCTCAATGCAGATGGGTAAGAAGGATAAATTAAGACTGCACAGACAACCCATGCTGGCCTCTCTTAACTTTTGAGTGCTGGACTTCGTAACTTTAACAGCCTTTGCATGTTTATGTCTGTAAATTCCTAGCGTTTTCAAAGATCAAGGAGAAATAAAATAGAAACAGAAAATCCATTATGTGGAGACATACTGAGTTATACATAGGTTATCATTTAGAATTGGGACATTTGGATCCACAATATGAGTTTCTTTTACTCAAAGTGACAGAATAACTGACAACAGGTCATTATTCTCCTTGTAGGCTGGCATTAGAGTAGGGGTTTCCTAAAGTTTTCTTCATGAAGGACCACTTAATGGGTTAGACATCATGCTGGGGCCACATGACAAAATGAATCTACAGTCCAATACCTTTATGTTCAAAAGATGTAAAATAATATGCTTTACATATACAAAGCTACAGTAAGGAGAATCACAGGGCTGCTGCTAAGGTTTGTCAGTCAGTTACTCCTGAATAGTTAATGACTACAGTCTCATCAATTCTGCCAAAGACAGCCACCATTAAGAAGTCCATTGCAGGCTGTATACAAATACTTTGTAGGGTTGTACTTTGGGAGCCGCTACACTAGAGAGAAGCCACATATAGGACATGTCTGGGCTGCAAACTTACCATACCATGCAGTAGTGTGCTCAAACACACTTTGCTGCTCTATACTGGCTACCTTCTGAGCTGGAAACAGTGTAGATGTGTTTCAGCAGCACTAATTAGCCTTCCCACAGCACTGGGCAGATGTGGTTATCTTATTTTGAAAAGCTAGTCTCACTTTCCATGCATTTTGTTTCCATTCTTTTGTTTTCCCTCCCAAGATGTTTTACCTGCTCTCTGCTAGGAAGGAATGCCCATCT